TTAAGAGGCTTGGACTGGCTGACCTCTACAGTCTCTCACTGCTGTGGTCCTCCGCTATTCCTCGGGTGAGACTCAGACCAGGCAAATTCACTAAGTACGTGGTCACTAATGGGTTACTGTGGGGGCAGGGCACAATGGTCTGGTTGGACGAGAACCATCGGCCCCTCTGGACTCAGAGTGATTGATCCCAGGGTTCTTCCAGCATTGGCCTCGTTTGCCTGTGCCTATGCTGGGGGCTGGAGTGCAGGCTGGAGGGAAGTCAGGGGGCAGGAAGCAGACCCTCTAGCCCAGTCCCCAGAGGAGGTGGGCCCCAGACCAGCCCCTTTCTGGGCCACTTGCATCTCCTTCTGTCCTTGTGTTCTCTTCCCTCCATGCCTGCCCTTACTGGACACCTGTGTGGGCCTCTGGCCTCCTGCTGTTCAGCCTTCCCTCCTCTCCATCTCTCTACCCACATGTCCTCTTCTCCTTCTCCGTCTGCCCTTGTCCTGTTCTGCCTTTGCCCAGCTCCTGTTCGATTCCCTCAGGGTGCTCCCCTCGGCTTTTCGAGCCTGCTGTTTCTCTGTGCACTCCTTTCTCTGGGGCTCTGTGCTTTTCTGCCCTTCTCTGCTTGTTTCCCATCTCCATGCTTTTGCCCTGGCTGTGACCCCACGCCTAGAATGTCCTCATTCCTCCTCTGTATCTCAAAATGTCTCTCCTGTTCCTCTCATTTTCTGTGCCTTTGTTTCCCCTCTGTCTCTTTATCTCTGCTTACACTTCTTCAAGGTGTCTGTCTCCTCCTCCATCCTTCAGGATCGTAGTCTCTGCAGCTCTCCCTGTGTTTCTCTCTCCCTGCCTGTGTCTTTCCTGTCTTGATCATCCTCACGTTTATCTAGCTAATAAGAGATCTGGGAAGCCCCTCCCAACTTCACCTTATGTGCCAATCTGCTACATCATTAAAGCTACTCATAGCTTTGACCCTATTCCCACCTGCCTGGTCCGACTGGCATCCCCTGTCTCATATATCCCGCCCCGGCCATTCCATCTTTCCTGGCCTTCCATGCCAAACTTCTGAATGTCTAGCCTGAGGCCTTCGCTTTACTACCCAATGTCTCTTCAGCCTCTGGCAGTTGAGCTTTGACCCTCACCACTCTATGGAAACCACTCTCTCAGGTCACCGAATGACTTGATAATTGTCAGATCTCGCAGCCGTTTTCCAGCTCTTGTCCTCTGACCTCTCTGCAGCCTTTGAAGCTGTTGACCGACCCTCTTTTACTGGAAACTCCAATTGCAGCTTCAGCAACGTCCCACTCTCTTGGTTCTCTTCCTCTTCCAGCCCCCTTATGGTAGCTGGTCCCCGGTGGTCAGTCCCTAGCTCTCTTCTTTCTTTTCTCCACCTGCCCTTCCTTGGTAATCCCATTCAGAGCTGGAAGGGACCCCAAAGACCATCTAGTCCAATCTCCTTATTTTACAAATGAGGAAACTGAGGCCCAGTGAAGATACAGCATTATACATACGTACATCAGAGCTTGAAGAGACCAAAGAGTCATCTAGTCTACTCCTCTCATTTTACAGGTGAAAAAACTGAAGCCCAGAGAAATGAAGTGATGGCCTAAGTCAGTCATTGGACAGGCAGCCAGGTAGGCATCATCAGAGGTGGGATTGGAACCCAGGTCCTCTGATTCCAGAGCCTGCTATATCCTACCTCCATGGCCACATTTAAACAGCTGACTCCTAGACTGTCATCTCTCACCCTGACCTTTCTTTCAAGATCCGCACTCACACACCTCCAACTAATTGCCCACCGACAGGCCTGTTCCAGCCACCCCTCACACTTAACATATCTTGAATCAGCCTTGTTCTTTCCCTCCTTCTGCCGTCCCTCTTTCTGTCTGGGTTTGGGATGGGGGAGTCACGGTTAAACGGTCACCTTGGTGGGACTGGGTCAGCCTGGATTCTTCCCTGCTTCCACCTTGCCCGCACAATCTGATCCTCAGCATCTGCTTCCATCTCTGCGCCATCTTTTACATCTATCCCCTTCTCTCTGTTCTCATTCCCCAGACTTTAGTCTAAAGCTAGATGCTGCCAGCCTGGACTATTGATATCCTGGCATGGAGGAACAGGGTGCTAGATTGGGAGTGTTCGGACCTAGGTTCGAATCTTTCCTCTGCCACTTAGCTGTGACTTTGGGCCAGTCATCAAAGCTCTCTGGGCTTTGGTTTCCTTATGGGTAACAGGTAACCTGAGACAGAGGGACTGGAGGCCTCCTGGGGTCCCTCTGATCATGTGATTCTTATCAGTATTCCTGTCTTCGTTCTCTTAACCCCAGCCTTCATACCTGGGCACGCACCGATCCGGGCATTGCTGTCCTCTGAGCCAATGTCTTCAGGGATCCCCTGAAGAATCAAGGCCAAACTTCCCATGTCTGGCAGCTCCTCTACTCTATTCTACCTCTCCAGTCTTCTCTCATCTTCCTCTCCTCCACTTATCCTTTGTCCAGATGATCTAGAATGTTCTCTGACCCCAGCATTGCTCATGGCCTGCCTTGTTCTGTCCAACTGCAGCCCTTTCTTTCTTTCTTTCTTTTTTTTTAGGCAACTGGGATTAAGTGACTTGCCCAGGGTTACATAGCTAGTAAGTGTCAAGTGTTTGGTCTGAGGTCGTATTTGAACTCAGGTCCTCCTGACTTCAGGGCTGGTGCTCTATCCACTGTGCCACCTAGCTGCCCCCAGGCCTTTCTTTAAAGCCCATTTCAAAGGCCTCTTCCAAGAAATCTGGGGGTGGGGGTGGGGATGTATGTGTGTGACATCAGGAGGAGGCCAGGATTCACTTTCTGCAGTTTAAATTCCCTGGATTACAGGGGCAGGAGTGTGCATTGTGGGTGCTGCTTGGGCTCCCATGGGGTACTGGGGATCAGGGGAATCAAAGGGGAGAAGACCTACTCACCTCTTCCCTGGCCCAGCCAGCTGGTCTGGGGCGGGGGTGGGGCTGCCAGGCACTGGAGCAGAAGGGGCCCAGAGGGACAGATCCAGGCTAGCGGTCAGAGCAGGTGGGGGTGGGGTGGGGAGGAGGAATGGAGGAGAAGTGGTCCCTTCCCCCATTCTTCTCCGGCTCCTTCTTCCCTTTGACAGCTGATTGGACCTTAGTTAAAAAACGCTCACCAATCAGATCAAAAGCTAACTCCCTCCCTCCCCAGACACACAGCATTGGTTTATAATTGACCTTTCCTTTTTTTCCTTTTGCCTTTAAAGACTTCAAGTGGCTGCTTCAAAGTTTTGAAAGTAACCTGAGCCTCTATTTCAGATCCTCTTAGAATCTAAGCCCACATCCCTGACACTGAGGCTCACTCAGAGTAGTTAAACTTTTTCCTAAACAGTGAGCCCAGCTCTCCACCAGAGATGCACCATTCTTTTTAATGTTTAACACATTTAAAAATTTTATTTCATTAAACATTTCCTGATTACATTTAAAATTTAATTTAAAATAATTCCTAATCACATTTTTAAAAATTTTGAGTTCCAAAATGTCTCCCTCCCTCCTGTCCCTCCCCCACCCCTTGAGAAGGCAAGCAATTGATTATACCTGTGAAGTTGTGCAAAACTTATTTCTATATTAGTCATTTGTTGCAGCAGAAAACACACACACTCACAAAACAAGGAAAATAAAAAAGTTAAAAAGTCGGTTTCAGTCTGCATTCAGAGTTCACCAGTTCTCTCTCAAGGTAGACAACAATTTTTCATCATGTGTACTTTGGAATTGTCTCCGATCATTGTCTTGATCAGAGTAGCTAAGTCTTTCACAGTTGATCATTGTTACAGTATTACTGTTACTGTGTACACTGTTCTCCTGGTTCTGCTCAATTCACTTTGTATCTGCTCATAAGTCTCCCCAGGTTTTTCTGAAAGCACCTTACCTGTCAATTCTTATAGCACAATAGTATCCCATTACAATCATATACAACTTATTCATCCATTCTCTAGTCGATGGGCATCCCCTCAGTTTCCAGTTCTTTGCCACCACAAAAAAATGCACCATTCTTGAAAGTGGGGCCCCATTCCAGCCACATTCCTGATGCTCAGCCAGCATGGCATCCCTAACACTGAGCCTGCATTATTGACACTGAGCTCCCATTCCCAGCATTAGATCCCATCCTTGAGGCTTAGTCCTGGCTATAACACTGAGCCCCAGTCTCCACCGATGCTGGCCTCATACTGAGCCCCAATCTCCACCAATAACAGCCTCACACTGGGCCACCTTCCTAGGCCCTGAACTCCCATCTTTTACCAACATCTGATTCTGAGCCTCCATTCCTATCACTGCAGTTTGATTCCTGAGCTCTCATCCCTACATTCAGTCCCATTCCTTTAAAAAGATTTTATTATATATTTCACTTTCATATCTTTTTCATTTCCCATCTTAATTCTCCTCCTCCCTCACCCAGAGAGCGGTCCTTTATAATAAAGAATAGAAAGGAAAACCAAACCAGCAACCAAAACCAACACATAAATCAATTAATCAAATCTGACAGCGTATGCAGCAGCTCACCTACAGTCTACCATGATGGCAGAAAATGGAGGCAGGTACATTCTCCTATCTCTTCTCAGTGCCAAACTTGGTCGTAATAATTTCACAATGTTCAGTTTTTTATTTTGATTCTCCCCCACCCCCACCCCATGTATGTTGTAGTCATTGTATATATTATTTTCCTGGTTCTTGATCACTTCATCTAGGTCTCCCCAGTGACTCTGCCCCCATTCCTAACCCAAACCTCCCTTGCTGGCACTGAGCCCCCATCCCTGACACTAAATCCACGATGATTCTAACACCAACCTGCCATTCCAGATCTGGGTCCAACATCCCTAACACTGAGCTCTCACCCTAGACATTGAACCCCCAATCCTAATGCTAAGCCTCCAGCTCTGACACTGAGCCCCA